GGGGGGGACGGACACACCTCTCGAGCACGAAATCCCCCAAGACAATGCTGCGAGCAAACAATGTATAAAGAAATTAAGAGGACAAGGACAGTGCACACAGCTTTTTGGTTTATACAGACACTTAGAATTTCCGGTGTGCTTCATTCTTTCCTGATGATCCAAGTTTTCATCTAACAGTATTTCCTGTCAACATGAAGCTCTCCCTTTATTGTACCTTGTTGTGCAGGTAAGTTGGCTACAAATACTCTTCGTTTTATTTTATCTAAAAATGTTACTTGGCTTTCATACTTGAATAATGTATCCCCTGACTATAGAATTCTGGATTGACAGGTTTTTCTGTTCTGTCGGCATTTTAAGGAATTTTTTTCTCTTCTAGTCTCCATTGTCTCTATTTAAAGTTGGCTGTTGATCAAATAACTTTCTCCTCTATGTAATATGTTGTTTTCTCACGCTACTCTCAAGATTTAAGCTTTATCTTTAGTTTTCAATAATTTGACTATGATGTGTATTAGTAGGGAGTTTTTGTATTCTGTTTGTTGTTTATTTACAATCTTGTATCTCTAAATTTCTGTCTTTCATCAAATTAAGGAAAATCTTGGCTATTATTTCTTTTTTTAAAATTGGTTTTAGAGAGAGAGGAAGGGAGAGAGAGAGAAAAAATACGTCACTTTGCTGTTCCACTTACATATGCATTCATTGGTTGATTCTTGTATGTACCCTGATGGGAGATCAAACCCACAACCTTGGTGTATCTAATCAGTGCTTTAACCAACTGAACCAGGGAGGCCTTTATTTCTGAAGTACTTTTTCTGCCCCATTCTCTCTCTCATCTCCTCTGGCATACCAGTTACATGTATTTTTTTTAGCTTATAAACTTGTTAAATTTATTTTTTATTTATATTTAAAATCTATTTTTAATTACAGTTGACATACAATATTATATTAGTTTCAGGTGTACAACATAGTGATTAAACATTTATATATTTTATGAAGTGATCACCTTGGTAAGTCTTATACCCATCTGACGCCACACATAGTTATTACAAGATTATTGACTATATTACTTTACATCCCTGTGACTATTTTTATAACTGGCAATCTGTACTTTTTAGTCCTTTTCACCTTTTTTACCCATTCCCATCTGGCAACCATCATTTTGTTCTCTGTATCTATAAGTTTGTTTCTGTTTTGTTTGTTCCCTTATTTTATTTCATTATTATTATTTATATATATCTTTGATTTCAGAGAGAGGAAGGGAGAAACATCAATGATGAGAGTCATTGATTGGCTGCTTCCTGCACGCCCCCTACTGGGGATTGTGTCTGCAACCTGGGCATATGCCCTGACTTGGAATCGAACCTCGATCTCCTAGATCATAGGTTGATGCTCAACCACTGAGCCACACCAGCCAGGCTTTTTTTTTTTTTTTTTTAAGCCTCACCTGAGGATATTTTTTCCATTGCTTTTCAGAAAGGGGGAGAGAGAGAGAAGAATCCGTGTAGAGACACATCAATTGGTTGCCTCCTGCATGCACTCCAGTGGGGCCAAGGATCAAGCCTGCAACTGAGGTACGTGCCCTTGGCCAGAATTGAATCTCAAACCCTTTTGTCCATGAGCTGATGCTCTAACCACTGATCAACCGGCCAGGGCTTATTTTATTTTTTTTAGATTCCACATATAAGTTAAATCATGGTACTTGTCATTCTCTGACATCTTTCACTAAGAATAATACCCTCTAGTTCTTTCCATGTTGTCACAAATGGTAAGATTTCATTCTTTTTTATGGCTGAATAGTATTCCATTGTATATATACCACAACTACTTTACTACTCATCTATTGATGAACATTTAGGTTGCTTCCATACCCTGCTATTATAAATAAAGCTGCAGCGAACATGGGTGCATGTATCTTTTTGAATTAGTGTTTTCGGTTTCTTTGGATAAATACCCAGAAATGGAATTGCCGGGTCTTGTGGTAGTTGCATTTTTAATTTTTTGAGGAACCTCCATACTGTTTTCCCTAGTAGCTGTATCAATTTATAATCTCACCACAACTGTGCACAAGGGTTTCTTATTCTTGTTTGCTGATTTGCTGATGGTAGCCTTTCTGACAGGTGTGAGGTGATATCACATTAAAGTTTAAATTTGCATTTCCCTGATGAGTAGTGGTGTTGAGAATCTTTTAGTAGATCTATTAGCCTACATGTATATTTGACTGCTTAATATCATTTGGAGTTTATGTTTAGGGTCAGTGTATGTGTTCCAGCACTGAACACCAGGAAAGCCTTGCCTCCTGATCCTCAGGGCATCTGGATACAGGTGTGGCGAGTGGTGGGAATCCAAAGCTATGCCCATTTTACCTCCTAACTTTGGTAGGAGTTAATCACCTCTACTGTTGGCAACTGTGCTTTCCAGACAGGGCATCTCTTCTATTCTGCAGAAAATAACACAAACTCACGATCTCTCAATACTACTACTAACACAACCACCCCCCCACACACTGTCATGTTGATTCCATCCCTTCTAAGAAATAGATGGGAAGTGAGGCTTGTCCCTTTTTCAGTTTCTTTTTCCTCACAAAACTCACAGAAAGAACAGATGTGCTGACAGTGGTCCTTTGTGCATAAAGAACTAAAGTCAAAGTCAATCTGGGAAGCCAAGCTTAGGCTGCCCTAGTATTGACCAAAAGCAGGCCAGGAATGAGGTGGAGGGTCAGGAAAAGGCTGGGGCTTTGTTTGATGCACGTTTGCTGATCCATTATTCGATATTTGTTTTCATACAGTAAGTAGTTATTAAGAACCTATTATGTTCCACCTGTTGGAAACAAGGACTTAGCAAGGAATTGGTACTCGTGGGGAGCAGGTGTGACTCAATTCAGAGACATAGTCAATGGGACAAATTTGTTCCTGTGCTCTGTTCTCAGCTTCTTGACCTTCCATGCCCTGTTCCGGAAACCTTGGGCAGATGAGACAACAGAAGGAGTGGAGATAGGAGGGAAGGGAAATTCCCCAGCATGGAGGAAGGAGTGTTCTCATTATTAGGCCACTAGTGTCGGGCAAGTGGCTCTGGCTTAAGGCCTGAGGTACCAGAAAGGCAGTACCAGGCAAGCCAGAGGGGAAGTTAGCCCAGACTTGGCCCTGGGCCAGCACTGCAGGGTGGAGCCAAAGTTCCTGGACAGGACATGCCCATTCATGACTAAAGCACCAGGGGCTTCCAGTCTGGCAGGTGTAGCTCAGCGAAAGAGAATCCAACCTGTATTCAAGAGCCTGACTGCTTCCTGTCTGGCAGATTTGTTCAGCTGTCTGTTTAGTTCATTGTCGCTGCCTTCATCACAAACCTGGAGTGGTACCAGTTCCCTTCTTGTAATAACCTAACTAATTTTTATGTGACATTTTGCACTTGACAGTGAGTTTGTTATTTTATTTAATTCTCCCAGCATTCCTGGGAAGCAGGGTAAAGTTCCATTTGTGATCATCGAACTTTGGTTGGTCTGGGGAAAAAGAGGTAAAATCGGGCGTCAGCCTCTTGCTGGGAATTTTCCGAGGCCAAGTTGTTTTCATTTTCGTTTCCCCTTTTAAGTAGAGAAATACAGGCCGTACTATTCTGGGTTCTGATAGCAACAGTGTTTTAGTTTAAAATGTACAATGGGCCAGATAATTTTGTACTGCCTGGCCCAGTCTGGCCAGACAAATGTTTTTATTCCCAGCACTGCCATTTTCTTCCCTCTAAATAAGATACCTGAGCCAACCAGACCTAAGAAGGGTAACTGCCCCTCCCCTGGCTTCCACCCCCACTCCGGGGAGAGAGATGGAGTTGCCTTCTATGCTCTGGTGCCAGAGCACTGTAGGAGTCCAGACCCAGGCAAATGGGAGGCCACATTTTGCTTGTTTAGATTATATGTTTGAGACTTGTCCTGTCTTGACTTCCCAAGAATGAGATGAATATCTAAAAGTTAGAGCAATGAAATCTCTGCCTCATGTGGGGTCAGCAGCCTTAAGTTGGTTGCTGTCCTTAAGTTGGTTCCTCCACCTTGGAGGAAATTACTAGACCAGGGGAATCGTCTGCCTTGGGACGCAGCTGGAGGTTAGGATTGGGTACTTGGTGCTATTTGCCATTTCTGCTTTTTTTTCCTTTTGTGTTACGTGTATACAATAAATAGACCTTTTTTCTTTTTCTGGTACCTGTAATTTAAAATTCCTGAATTCAGCAGAACCACATAGGAGGGCAAGAAAGGACAAAAATAGACTGCTTGCAAATTAATTTAACCTCAGAAGCCATTCCTCAACAGATGGATATTTGGGGCTCTTTTTGTAAATGAAACACTACAGGCCTTGAACAAAGCCATTCAGCCATAAGTGCTGGAAATGGCTGGTATCCAGTTGTCCTAACACTTAACCGTCACCACCACCATTGTTTGCTGAGTGTTCCAGGCACTCATATATAAATTGTCTGTAATCCTTAAGATAACGGTATATGGCAGCTATTATAAACCTCATTTCACAGGGGAAGAATTGAAGTTTAGAAAAACTAGATCATTTTTCCACAGTCACATATTTAGGGAGTGGAAAAGCTAGAATTTGACTCCTGATTTCTATGACTGTCAAGTCCGTGCTCTTTCTCCTCTGCAATGACTTCTCACTATATTACAGCTTCAATAATTTCTTTGTTTTTGTATTAAATATGCATGAGTAGAAACTTCCAAAATAACTTATTTTGGAAGAACAGTTACCCAAAACATGAAGATGCAAAATAGTAGGTCAAATTCTACCTCACAGTCAGATACACAGTCAGATCATCCTGGAGCTTGAGATTCCTCCCTCTGCAGCCAGTGCACCCCTGCTCTCTGTTGGCCATGGATTTCCAGGTTGCAGCTTGCATGGTCTTATTTCTTAGATTCCTTTAATAATCTGTCATGTAAATAAATAACGCAACTCTTTAGAAAAGAGAATCCACCTGATTGTTTGAGGAGGAGTGGCAGCAGTGGCCTTAAAGGTGTACACTGAGTCTTGCCAATGTAAGCCATAATAACTAACTAAATGAACATCTTGCTATTCATGACCACCCACATTTTGACCTAGGGTAATTTGGAAAGGTCAGATTATTCAAAATACTTAGAAAAATTTCATTACATTCCAAATAGGCAATTTAAGGAAAATAAAATCTTCTTAACGTCTGTATCTGATTTTCAATTCTGTGAAATGATCTTACCTGATTACAGACCATTTTTCTTCATTATTGAGGTATAATTTGCAGGTGGTAAAGTACACATCATAGATTTGCCAGCTTCTAGATTTTGTGTAAGTAGAGTCAAGTACCCATCTGTGTCTGGCATCTTTTGCTTAATGTTGTAGACAGTCCATTTTGAAGCAACATAATTTTTACCACACTTTGAAATAGCATTCCTATAATTTACTCATTTGTGGGAGGAGAAATTTAAAAATATTTCATATTAAGTCATTTTTAAGAGATTGCCTTCAGTTATCTCATTTTCATCAAGAAGTACTTAATGAGAACCATTGTGTAAATGTTATACATCCATCTATCTGTCCATCCTTCACTTTGTTCCAAAAAATAATTTCAAGTTCTTTCTATTGCTACATAAAAAATTTTCAATTCTGTGTTCTAGAAAATGCCAGCATTGTTTTGGCATTTAAGAAAAGCATTGACCAAACTCCCCACAGCCAGCAAACCTTAACTCTCTACAACGGTCTTTTCTCTAAAATTCATGTCTATTCAGAAAAGGGGGGTTGGTTTTATTTTTATTTTCATTGATCAAACAGCATTATAGTGGCACTGCTAGAAGATTAAAACAAAAATACAAAATTCTACCCTCAAACCAACAAATTCCAGGTAGAATTATGGTAACTTCTTTGGGTTTTACAAAACATACGTGAACTTTGTGTCTTTTAAGTTTAGCCTTGCTTTTAATTTGATGTAGTGTGTAGTCTGAATGGATTTGTTTTTATAATTTATATGGTAAGCCTTGGGGCAGGGACCAGGTTTTGACATGAACTTGACAGCTTATACTGCACTCTTAATACTTAGAAAATAATAATTAATGGTTAGGCATTGGGTGTTTGGCACAGGACCTTAACTTTAAGTATAATTAACTTCACGAGCTATTCTGGTGTATGATGAAAGTGCAATGTGAAAAACTTCTCATGGCTTCTTGGAAGGAGTTGGGAATGATCCAGTGGCTGAGACATGTTGTAATTTAGAACATAAATGTAATTGCCTGATGAGCATGAACATCAGGTGGCTTTAATGTTAAAGGTTATAAAAACACTTATACTAGAATTAATATCACCAAGGTTGGACTAAGAGTTTGTGAAACTTAAAAAACAAATAACAGGAACAAAAAAACTAACACTTAAAATAAGTATTAGAAAGTCAAATAAGTTCTATGCTTATTTGTTTTGTAATTTTGCATGATGATTATTTCAGTGGCTTTTTTAAACTCTCAAATATTGAAATATTTCCAAATAGTTGTGTGTGTGTGCATGGGTGTGCACATGCACACATGCTCACACACATAAGTGTGCTCAAAGTATGCCCTTGCTGCCACACTAAGAATGTGCTTAGTTTCCCTTGTAGATAATCTACAGTGAATCCACCATGTTCTTAGGAATTTAGAATGTTGCGTAGCTTGTGTGGACCTTGGTTCCAATTACAGAAAATTTGAATAGGTAAGTTGGCAACCAAGAAAGCTACACCAAGGAGCAGCTCCTTTATGACCATCTTAGGAGAGGATCTGTGCCCGCTGTCTTCTACCTTGTGTAGTAGGGGCTCAGTTTTGTATTTGAACATAAGAATTTTGCCCCAGTGTGATCGTGATCGGGGAGCAGGTGAACAGTTGTAGAGGCCTGTGATGGTTCCTAATTCTTCACCAAAACCCGTTCCATGATCCCCCGCCTCCAGCCTGACTTGGAATATTTTGTCCTAATTTTTAAAAAAATGCATTTAGTATTTAAAAGTTGTTGTACGTTGAGTGCACAAATAGGGTGCCCTTTAATAAAGGGAAATTAAGGAAATAAGGTCTCATCATTAAAATTAAGGAAATCTTCAGAGTTAAATTACCCGAACACAAAATTGCAAAGAAAAAGTAGGCAAAAATTACTCTAAGGAATGGAATGGCCCCAGATCTGAGCAAATTATAACTGTAGACATTAAGGATGCAGTCGGAAGGAAATCAATGTTTGTTAGCCTTTGGATGTTTTCATAAAAGGAAACTCTCTGAGATGAATGTTGGCAAGTCCATCCAGCCACTGCTGCCTGGGAAGGTAAATCCTCACCCTTGTGGTGTTTATGGTTCTATTGGCAAAGGAGAAGGTACTACCTGCTATTTTAGCCAGGTCCCACTAAACTTTTGAGCTTTTACCTGCCCCTGGTATGATTCCAGGCTCAGCAAGCAACATTCTAGTCATAACTTGGTTCCCTTTCTAGGTCAGCTGATGGGGGGAAATGTGCTGGTCATGCTTGGGGTACTATTCTGGTCTATGTGACTGTGATCATTCTCAGCACAAATTAATACATTGTCCCAGTTTGTTTATCAGCCTCTGTGAATTTGGTTAACGTGAGAGATGATCTTGAATGGGCTGACAAACTGGGTTTCAGAGCCAGCGAGGCCAAGAGCCAAGGAACTTCACCAAGGAATGTGGCCTTTAGACTCTTGGAGGGCAGAGAATTCCTCTCTATTCCCAGCTTACAGCACAGCGCCTGGCACCCTTGAGAAACTCAGTGCTCATTTATTTGGACAAGATACTCTTTAATATTGAAGCTTATTTTATAATTGCAATCTCATTTTATAATTACTCAAAAGTATATGATCACCAATAAGAGATTATTAAAAAACTTAAATATTTTTTACCCAGCCCGGCCGGGTGTGGCTCAGAGGTTGAGCATCGACCTAGGATCCAGGAGATTGCGGTTTGATTCCCCGTCAGGGCACATACCCAGGTTGCGGGCTCAATCCCCAGTCAGGGACATGCAGGAGGCAGCCCATCAATGATGACTCTCTTATCATTGATGTTTCTATCTCTCTCTCTCCCTCTCCCTTCCTCTCTCTGAAATCAATAAAGATATATTTAAAAAGAAGTTTACCCAGGTAATACGTAATTTTAAGGAAAAAATATAAAATAGATAAAAGTAAAAAGAAAAAAAATCCATGTTTTTATTACTTAAAGAAAATCATTAATATTTTGGTATATACCCTTTCAGACATTTTTTACGTATAAAATGCATATGTATTTGTATATAAATACATTCTTACAAAAATGGAATTTTACCCTAATGCGGTGTTGTAGCTTTATATAACTTACAATAAAAAAAATTAAACTATATGGTGAAAAATCCTATGTCAATACATAATCTATAGAATCATTTTAATGATGCATAGTATTCCTTAATATATGTGTGCACCTTAACTTAAACATTCTCTTATTGTTCATCCTTTAAGTTGTGTTCACTTCATTATAAACAGAACTTTAAAGAACACATTATTATTTCTTTAGAACAGATTCCCAGAAGAGATATTGCTAGGTTAAAGTGTATGCATGTTTTAAAACTTTTGATACATAGCCAGCTTGTTCTGTAGAAAATCTGCATTGATCTGTTTAACCACTAGCTGTGTTTCAGAGCACCCATTTTCCCACCACAGGTCTTCTACATGTTAGTGTGTCAGTTGATATCCCTGGAGCTTTGAACCACTACTACCCACAGGATCCTTAACAGCTAACTGGAACCCCAGATGCAGCTTTTCTGGGCAGCCTCACTACCCTCCTCCAGTCCCAGCCCTTGTCCCTTCAGACCTGAGCTCCAGCATCTCCTTCCCTCCTTCCTCCTCAGTCCTGAAGTCGCTTCAGGGAAGCTGTGGATAGGCTCTGGGGTATGATTGCCTGACAAAACGCATGATGCCCAGTTAAATTTGAATGTTAAAAAAACAATGACTACTGCGTGAGCCAGTAGTATAAATAATTTTTATACCAAAAAGGTATTGTTGATCTGAGATTCAGATTTAACTGGGCATCCTGTATTTTTATTTGTTGAATCTGGCAATCCTACCTGTGTATATTCTTTAATCTAAAACTATCTGCCCTAAAGCTAGTAAAATTCGTCAGTGTCTGATATTTGGATGTTTCTCCGCAGTGCTAATAAAGACTTTTACTTTACATTTCTTTGGTCCACCACCCCCGCCTCCACCCCCCACCCCGTAGTTGGGAGGGAAAGGAATCAACCATGGGCCTTCCTTCTCAAGCTGCTGGTTTTTCCCACAAGTATAAGTTTTATTTAAAAAACAAACCAGTGAATTTTAAGGTTATGAAGTAGGAGGACATTCATGACATACCATCTGGAACAAATAGTTTACAAAGCATGTGTTATGACCCCATTTCAGTTTAAAATATATTACTTTGAAATGATAGAAATTATTTTTAATGATTCTAAACTCAGACCTCCACTAAATTTCTGATTCTGCTTTTCCAGCAGTTTTACCTTGGACAGGTTAGTTTTTTGAGTCTTTTTCTCATTTAAAAAAAAAAAATTAATTTAAAATAATTTTTAATTTTTCAATTATAGTTGACATACAATATTATGTTTCAGCTATACAACATGGTGATTGGGTATGGTGTCAGATGGGTACTAGATTTTTGGGGGTGATCGCTTTGTAACTTATATAAGCGTCTGATCACTGGGTTGTACATCTGAAACTAATAAAATATTGTACATCAACTGTAATTGAAAAATAAAATATTATTTTAAAAAATCTGTAAAGTACATCATAGGGAATATAGTCAATAATATTGTAATAACTATGTATGGTATCAGATGGGTACCAGACTTATCATGGTGATCACTTCATAAGTTATAGAAGTGTCTTTTTTTCCTATTCAAAGGGGGCAGACAGTTTATTTCCAGTAACGAGACAGCAAGCATAGTGCTGGACACATCTCAGACCTTGACCACCTGTGCACTGAGTGGAAAAGCACACACGGGACAGTTCTGATGATTGGATTGCGCTGTAAGTTATTTAAATTTTGTTTGTTATGACACATTCTAGGGAGTCTTAGATTAAGTTTGAGAATATTGTTCAATCTATTTTGTAGATCTGGAAAAACAAATTAAAGGGATTTTATTTAGTATTTAGATACATAGTTTCCAGAATGTGCCTGTGTATTCTTACTATACAGGGTGGGGCAAAAGTAGGTGTCCAGTTGTGAGTATGGGAAACACAGAGTTTATTCTTGTATACTACTTATTACTGTATTATTTTCTATACGAACAACTGTAAACTTTTGTTCCACCCTGTATATTCAGTTTTATATCATCAAGGTTAATTGCGTAAAAGAGAGGTTTTGGATTATGTATCCCCAAATACTCTACCAGCCATCAGACCGCTGAGAAAAATATATGAAAGGGGCATGAGGAGGTTATTTGCTCTTTTGCAGACTGGGAATTTGGCCTGATTTTCTTTCTAATCTGCTAAGCCAGGGAGGACTTCAAGATCAAGGTCTAGGTAGGTAACAAAACAGGCCTCTCGGGTCCTTTGCTCTCAGGGACACACTTTAATCTTCTCCTGGGAAGGGTGAAAAAAAGAAAAGGAAAACCAAGAGAAAAAGACCTGTTTCTGCATAAATCCTGAAAATGACTCTTTCCTTGACTGAACTTTAGTCAGGCTCCTCTGAGCCATCGTTCTTTTCAGCTAGGTCTCAACTTTGGCCTCACCCCCACACCCCCTTACCAGTCCTGCACAGCCTAGTTTTAGCAAGAATCCTGCCTAGTTAGTTTAGAGAGAATCCCCCACTCTGGGTATCTGATAACCTTCCGTGCCTGATCAAGTTCTTCATCCCCTGCCTTTCACATCCGTCCTTAGCCTGCCTGCAGCAAGAATCCTGCTATGTATCCTCTTAGCAGATTTCCATCTGCTGACCCTCCACCCCCACCTGGCTCCTTGGCTGTAAATCCCCACTTGTCCTTATTGTATTCAGACTTGAGCCTGACCTCTCTCCCCATTGCAATAGTTTTGACACTTATTGCAGTCGTCTTGAATAAAACCTTCCTGACCATTTTAACAAGTGTCAGAATATTTTTTTCTCCCCCCCCAGCTTTATTGAGATATAATTGCTATTTCATATTGTGTAGATTGAAGGTGAACAATATGATGATTTGATACACATGCATATTGTACACAAAAATATTGGTTAACACATCCATCACCTCACATAGTACTTTTTTTGTATTGGTGTGCCGAGAACTTTTAAGATTTACTCTCTTAGCAACTTTGAATTATATAATACAGTATTGTTAGAATAATTTTTCTTTAATAACCCTGGCAAACCAAGCCAAGTTACCTGAGAGAACCACTTTTTAAGATGCAGACTTAAATAGGAGACAGAAGGAAAGGACATTCCATGGGTAAGCAAATGCGTTTAGCCTTTTAGTTCCTTCCATTCTTTGCTCCCCACTTTGCAATAAAGCTCCAAAATGTCCTTGACTAGTATCAGATTTCTGGCCCCATGGGAAGGGAGTTTGTGTGTAGAAATCCTTGGACGCCCCCTAGTGGTTAGAGTGTGCATCCACTACTAACCGGCAAATTGTGTGTGGGGGTTGGGGAGGTGTTGTTGCTGTTTTATTGTTGTCAGGAAATCGAAGGTGTTGCTTTCCCTTTCCAGGGAGCTTAGCAGAATATCAGAAATGTCCTGTATGCAGCTTTATGCAGCTGATTCTTCAATCCTTGTTGGTTCTACACTTGGGACTCATGAAATGGGTAGTTTAGCCATTTTTTTAATAAAGTGTTCCTTTGATGTTCTACCCAGAAAGCTAGGTCATGACATTCTGTCAAGGGCAAGCCAAGTGTTTTCCCAAGTGTGTTTTGTGGACATAAGAATATCCTAGAGTGTTTATTTAAAATGAGGATTTCTGGATCCTGCCCCAAACTTCTGAATAAGAATTTCTGGGGTTGAGGCAATTCTTATGCACATTAAGTTTTGTTAAAAATCACTGCTTTCCACTACTTGAGAAGGCATTCCTCCACTCTGTATCTCATTTAAAATTATGCTGTATGATGCTGAAATAAAATTCATCAGACAGGGTTACATACACAATGAGTATAACAGAATAATAGAACATGCCAATCTTTCAGCCTGAAACAGAACACAACAAACACCCTTTCTTTCTTCAGCCCCTGAAATACAATTCCTCAGATATGTAGAAAATACTTCTCCCTCTTCTATCTTATTCTGTTGGGCTGAGATAGAGGGGCCTTATTTACTACTTCAGCTACCTCAGGGTTGGGTTAATTCAACCCGAGTCATGTGCTCCATCTTTCCAAAGTTCCAGGAACAGGCCCTTCTCACCAAATTTAGAAAACCTAATCAACTGTGCATAAATACGATTGTCTAAAATCTGAGCATAATTTCTCTTTGGAAGCACATTTAAAAATGCACATTCATAGTCTTCACCCTAACATTTTCTGGTTTGGAGTGGGAAAGAGAGTCCCTCTGTCTTTACAGAATGGAGTTCTGGGGAACTGGACTCCATTCTGCCATTTAAAGTTTTTGACCAGTCCTTTTTCAGTGGTACCATGAATTTCTGCCTTTAGAGATGCCTGGAGCCTCCGAATTCTGGGCATTTCCAAGATGCTCTGCTAGTAGCAGCTTTCTTCTCATTATCATGACCCTCTGGCATTAAGCTGTCACAATTCTAGTAATTCCTTCATCCAATTTTCATCTTTCAAAAATGTGTTGACATCTCTTGTCTGCACTTCTGTTATTTATCTGTTGTGTTGCTCCAAACCCACTCTTCATCTTTTCTGCCCCACTCTGTGTCCTGAAAAGATAACTTCTATGAACTTGGGCTCCTCTGACATTTGGCTTCAAACTGAATTCTGCTAATTGGAGGTACTGGCAGAGGCTTAAGAGTGGGAGGAGATAAGATTGTAGATGTAAGGGTGTTTATTCCCATTGCTGCCTCCCACCTTCCCCCATAATTCCTCCCTGGAATGCCATGGTTTTGGTAATGGCAGAATATTTCTACCTAATTCCACGGCTCCTGTAGGGTGCTCCTCTCCTACTCCTAGAGCTCTTGCCAGGTTCCAGTAACCACTCTTTCCACCTGCTCTTCAGGCCTCGGGATGGTGATAGCTTCCCAATGTTGTCAGTTCCCTTGTGCTTCACTACCCCTTACTGGTGCTCTTGATCCTGCCCACACCTCTGTAAATAGTTTCCTCGTTAAATTCTAGTTCATCTCCTTTGGGTGTGCAAATCTGTTTCCTGCCAGAACTCTGACTGCACATTGCTGTTCACGTTCTTCCTTTACTGTGTTTGTTCATTTCAGAAATTTCATTCTCATTTTAGCAGTTTTTAAAGGCAACGAAAATAAGTGCCATATGTTCCATCTGCCATGTTTAACTGTCAAATACTCCTTTTCCAACATCTTTTCCTATGTAGAATTATCTGACTCTGTTTCCTTTGCTATGACATGCTAATTTCTCTCCCATGCCCAGAGCAGAGACTGGAGGTTTAACCTATGAATAAATTGAAAAAGCATGTCCCAATTCAGGGACAAGCACAGTGGCAGGCAAGGCAGAAGCACCATACTATTGAGCAAGGTTAAGACAAAGTCCGTGTAGTGAAGGGTGACCCTCCACCCTCTCTCTTGACATTTTAAGTGCCAAGCAAGCTGAAAGGAAGCATGCTGATAGCTCTATCCCCTCGAGCCCAGGAGCCAGAAGGTTCAAGCTTTCTCTGGAGAAAGTGAACAGCCCTACAGAAAATCTGAATATGTGTGTTCAGTTGTTCCACAGTGAAGGTCATCAGTTGCAAGTCCAGCACACATATTCAAATCTTCCAGTTAATCGTTTAGTGCCTTATTTTAAAATATGAATGGACAACAAAAGATCACTTGATATTTAAAAAAGACTTAAACAAGAGAAACAAAGACAACCAACACTAACTGTACAAACAAACAAACAAGCCATAGACAGAATTCAAAGGAAGGAGAAGCAATTCAGGACTCAGGAAAACAACAAAACACTGACGTGTTTTGGGGGGAAATAGAGCAGTGCTTAAAAATCTGAGGTAAAAATAGATTTCCAGTATAAAATTCTATACCTAGGCAAATTATCACTCAGGTATGAGAGTATAATAATGACACTTTTACTCAGGAACACGAAATGATGTGAAAAAGGAAGCCAAGAAGAGAAATACACTGTATTTTGAAACAGAATATCTAACACATAAGTGAGGGGAAAAGAATTCCCAGGATTTTAGTGATGGGAAGCGTCAGGATGACGCTTGGCATCAGGCCTAGTAAACAACAGGTACATGTTAGAGAAGGAAGGCAGAGGGCTCCAAGAGAGATTTCCAGGGAGAAAACTAAACTTAGAGAGTATCCAAATATTTGAATGTATTTAGAAATAATTTTTAATTACATTGGATAGTTTGGAGTTAAATTAGTGATTTCGATGTGGATAATTAAGCAAACAAGTAACAAAAAAAAACAACCCAAGGCGATTATTAATACTGGAAAAAACATAAAGTTGTTTAGGAAGGAAATGTTATCATAGTACATACCATCACAACTGTGAATGACAGAAACTAAGCACAATAATATACATAATATTTATTTAGACAGAAATGCCAGTGTAACTAATTTGGGAAAATGGGAATGAAGAAATATATGTGAGTGACTATATTTGGGGAAGATGATTTAAGAGAGCTAAATCTTCATTTACCATAGTAGCAAATAAATAGGTAATAGCTAAAGTAAAAAAATCAAGAAATGGCAATGTAAGCACACGATTTAGATACATAGAGGTAAAGCCAGAAGAAACAACCAAAAGTTTAAAGAAGTTCCTTAAAAGGTGTGGGGACTTGGGGATGGGAATCAAAGGGGCAGAATTCTGCTATTTTTCACTGTAAGCTAACAGTTCTATTTTATTTTTTAAAAGAAATATATGTATTGATTTGACAAAAATGAAAAGAAAACATACCCCATGTGTGATCTGAGGTCCCAAGTAGTAGTCACATAGCAAACACTTCTCTCTCTTCCCCCACCTATTCCAGGATTCTTCCGTCTCCTCCTAAAGAGCTCTTGGAATCTCTGTGTTATCTCACAAGTGGTGTGAATTCGTTCTCTTGGCTGCCTTGAAGTTTCTGTTCTTGCTCTTCTCTCTTCAGGGGCCAACTGAAGGCCACACCCCTGCCGCCTGCTGCCTCTCACTGTCCCCTGTTCCCAGGCTGCCAATACCTGGTGTCAAATTGTTGATGTTTGTGCCAGCAGTGCTACTTCTTGCCACTGCTGAAGCCTGCTGGCTCCAAGGCTGTCGACATTTGATTCCCTCACTGCCCCCTCTCAGTTGTTTTCCTAAATGGGAGAAATTTCTCTCATTCACAGAATTAGGAAAGAATATTTTCCCTTGAGCATCTGCTCTTATCTTATGAACGCTGCGGATGGGCAACAGAGTTTTCTTCTTTCTTTGGGCTGGCTGATAGAAAGCTAAATCTGCTTGTAATTCTGGAGGGTGGAGAGGATCTTACAGTTTCTATGTTGTGTATTACTTCTAAGTGACTTTTGGATTTTGCTTGCTTTACCCTTATGTTTTTACTTGTCATTCATTCATTCATTTAATCAGTACTGTATTTATTTTGATGACACAAGTCTTTTTTTGTTTTTGGAATGGGGGAATATATAAACAAATAAATAGTAAAATTTTTTTTACCTTGAAGAAAACTTTTCCTTTTTATTAAAAATCTCTATTTTAAGACTCAGGACTGAACTCATGGTAGCTATCTTGATTACTTTATAGTTAAGTCTTAATATTGGATTGTGTAAATCCTTCATACCCCTTTGCCATGTGACTTTGCCATTCATCCCCTTGAATCTACTCCAGCCTTGTGTTTTGTTGGACTAGAATGTGGCAGAAGAAACACTGAGTGATTTCGAAGCCTTGGCCTCAAGAGGCTTTGTTCTTTTGTTCTCTCCTTTTTAGAATGCTTCCCTAAACATGGAAAAGGCCAGGATGATAGACCTCATGGAGAGAGAGGTCCAGAATCCCAAATGAGGTCCCAGATATGTGAGTGAGGTCACCTCAGGCCACTTACCCCCAGCTGAGCTCCCAGTTGGTGGCAGCCATGCAAATGACCCAGGCAAGACCAACCCAGCTGACCCGAAGCATTCTGAGAAATAATAAATTGTTGTTTCAAGCCACAGTTTTTGAGTATTGTCATTTTGTTTTCAATGCAGCATAGGTAACTGATACACCCATCTTGCATGCTTGAGTTAAATCTAACTCGGATGTGGCATATTATCATTTCATACATTGCGAGATTCCTTTTGTTAACATTTTGTTTAAAACATTTGCTTCTCTGTTTGAATGAGTTTGGTTTGTAATTTTTCAATCATGCACTTTCCTTATCAAGCTTTTGATGTCAAAGTAAAATTAGCCTCATAAAGTGAGTTAGGTGAACTTATTCTTTTTTTAGCCTCTAGAATAGTTTGTAATAAGGCTAAAATTATTAGCTTCTAGAATTATTGAGAGAACTTATTCCTAAAATTGTCTGGGTCTATTGTTTTTTTGTGAGAATAGTTTAAACTGGTTCAGTTTTCTGTAATTGTTATAAAACCCTGCAGGCTTTCCATTTTTTCTTGAGTCAGTTTTAGTAGGCTCTATTTTTCTATTTTCAAATTCATTGGCAAAGAGTTGTTAAAACTATTTCTTTTAAGAAGTTGGTCAAAAATATCTTTTTACCTTTTCAAATCTCTTAAGCATCTATAGTTATGTCCTGTTTTTTATTTCTAATATTATCTGCACCTTTTTTTGCCTTATTTAGTCTCTAAAGAGGTTTGTCTTTTCAATGACTAAACTTTTGGCTTTGATGCTTCTCTATTTTCTATTTATATATGAAATGTATTATATGTACATAAATATATAATTTATATATAAAATATGAAATGTATAAAATAAATAAAATTTTACATATAATATGTAATGTATTTTATAGGCACATATAACATATAATATACAATACATTATATAATATCTTGCTTATTTTATTATTTTTCTACACTCTTTGCTTTATTCTGCAGTTCTAACACCTTAAGTTGGATGCTTAACTCATTCGTTTTCAGACTTCCTTCTTTTATAAATATTTTTATTACAAATATAATACAGAAGTGTGCATAAAATATAAATGCATAGTTTCACTATAATTTGCAAAGCAAACACCCATGTAACCAGCACAGGTTAAGAAAAAGAACATTAGCAGCACTCTAGGATTTCATTGTGTGTCCCAAACCACAAACCTCTCTTCCCCAGAGGTAACTACGGTAACAAGTTTAGTGATAATTGTCCCCTGCTCTTCTCTATGCTTTCAGCATCTACATACTTATCTCTAAAAAACATAATTTAGTTTACACCATTGGAAGCAGACGATTTTTGCTTCTTTCATCGCTCATATGGTTTGCGTTTCCTCCATGCCCTAGTTGTAGCTGTAGTTCATTTCCTTATGTCGCGGAGCAATATTCCTTTGTGTACCTGCACCACGGTTTACTTAGCCACTCACCTGTCAATGGCCCTTTGGGTTATTCCCACTGCTGTCTCAAGCGATGCCGCTACATACATTCTTGATCGTGTGTCTCCGTGCACATGAGTTTCTCCAGGGCATATAGCATGGAGTAAAATTGCTGAGTCCTAGGGGATGTATCTTAAAGTAGGATAGTATAAGTACCAAACTCTAAGCATCCCTTTTGTTTTTTGTCTGCACCAACACTTGGTATTGTCAGAGTTTAAAGTTTTGGCAATCTGGTAGATATGTAATGGAATCTCATGGTGGTTTTAATTTACACTGCTCTGATTACTAATAAAGCTTAACATATTTTCATATGTTTCTTGACCTTTTAGGTTTCCTGTTTGTGAAAGGCCTTTCAAGTGTTTGAAAATTTTCCTCTTGGGTCCTTGGCTTTTTCTTATTGACTTACGGAAGTATTTTTTTCTTTTTAAATAAATTACCTATATAAACCCTAAGTTAGTTTTATGTATCGTAAATATTTTTTTCTATTTTATAGTTTTTTCTCCCTCAGATTTTTATGGTATCTTTTGATAAACAAAAGTTCTTAATTTTAATTTGGTCAAATTTATCAGATTTCTTCTTTATGATCAGTGTGTTGTTTCTGTGTCTTGGTAGGAAATATTTGTATCTTTTTAAAGAAAACTGTTTCATGAAATTATTATCCTAACTTACCTTCTAAGAGCTTTATAATTTTACCTTCAGAATTAAGTCTATAATCTACCTGGAATTAATGAAAGAGGTACATTAAAATCTATCACAATGATTTTTGGTTTGTCTCTTTCTCTTTTTAGTTCTGTTTTTGTTTTATATATTTCCAGGCTATCTCATAAAGTACATATACATTAAAAATTATTATGCCTTCCCAGTAAATAAAATCTTTAATCATTATGAAGTTACCCACTTTATCCTTAGTAATGGTTTTGCCTTCAAGTCAACTTTGTCTGATAATAGTCATATCTACTCCAGCTTTTAGGGGATTGGTGTTTTCATATTTATTTATTTCTAGCCTGTTTTTAAAGATCATTTCTTTTTATATAGAGCATTGATGTTACATTGATAAACAATTTGATATGCAACTCTAATTTTTATGTCTGATCTCTTTCAATAGACAGAACTTTACAGGTCATACTGATTATTACTCTGCTTTCTCCTCATGCTTTCACCTCCAAAATTCATAATAGTTCTTGGGACTTACACACTCTGACTTAACTGCTTGTGGTCCTTACACTGCGATGGGTTCCCCTTGTATGATAAGAATTCCTGGATTTTTCTCAGACCCAGAATTCTGAGATTTTTCCCCTCCCTTCTTTGGGGCTTAAAGACTGGTACCTTTTGAACTTAACTGAATGACTGATTTTTATCTTTATTTCAAAAATCACTTTAATTAGCGTTAGTCCTGCCTGGGATGGATCCAAGGTATGCATTGCATTTAGAAGTTTCCCTGGACAAAGTGGAGGGAGGAGGACAACCCTGGTTCCCAGCACCCTAGAAAACCAGACAGAACAGGTGTTTTGTTGTTGTCGTCGTTGTTTTCTTATCTGTGTGTGTGTGTGTGTGTGTGTGGCTGGTGACATCACATTCTCTTGTCTTAGGGAGGTTCTCTGGATTCAGCAGAATCAGATTTTCTCCCAGATTTCAAGGTCATTTGCCATGGCAGGCAGCTCACTGTGGGAGGCCCGACAGGCGCTGTCTCCACCTGAGCCGGCTCATCTGGCTCCAGTCTCACCTTATCTGACAGTTTACCCTGCGTACTCTCTTCCCAGAGCACCAACGCAGTCAGGCTCAGATCTGGAGCTGCTTTTCCTTAGAACAATGAAGACAGAAATATTTGTCTTTTTATAGCGACATATAATAGGATTGACAAGCAGTTAAAAATAAGGCAAGATAAGGCAAGCTCAGAACTAACTGAATAAATCACCTGTAGGATTTGTTGACAAGCCTTCGTGACAGAGAGACTTTGAATGGAGGCCGCACACCTGCAGCAATGGGGAAACCCCGACCGTGTGGTTCAGGGTCTTTTCCTGCAGCACCTTTCTTCACCGAAATAGCCGGGTATCACACTCACACACATATCTACGTAAAAGATGAAACTCGCTATTAAGTAATGAATTTGAAGAAAAGAAAGAACACAATCAAGTGATCACAGTGGGACCGCGTGCAAGGTCTGTGTTTGCTGCAGGACAGAAACCGGACTGGAGAAGAGCTTCCATCAAAAGCAAACACTGTGGAGGAAGACAGACGAGAGTGTGGCTGGAAGGCAGCGCGTCGGATGGAGTGTTCTGGATGCATTTGCATTTCTGCCAGACAGAGGCTAAGGTAGTTCCTAAAGCTGGACAAATGGGTAATGCAAATAAAAAGTAAAAGCATCACATCGCAAAGAGCAATGACTTCAGTAGTCTAGCTAAGACATTGGGAACAGAGAGTTGCCCTTCTGGGTTATGGCCACAATAAACTAATCCCAGTGATGACTTCTGTGACCACAGAACTGCTGGGCTCCTTCCCCAGCTCAGCTCCCACCCCAACCCCATCTTCATAACCATTCTCTTGCATAAAGCTCAACTCCTTTGTCCTGCTAGTCGTCCCATTGGCTTACCCAGGAAAGTCCAACCCTGTTGGTGTTTTAAAAATAAAATGTTATGCCTTTTCCTCAAAATGTCATAATTCAGTATATTCCAAGGAACTCCAAATAATCGGACTGTCTCCACAACTCCCCCATATCTACTTCGTCTATCCACTTAGGCCCTATAAGATCTGATTTTATAACCACAAATTTAGAGACTACTATCAATAATCTCTTGATTTTTTACCAATACACAGAACACAGGAAACAGTACTAACAACCTTAGCAAAATGCTCTTACTGAAGAATTCTCTTGCTAAAACTCAGACACACTAAGTTATATATGGAGAGTGGCATAAGTTCGTGTTAATTTTTTAATAAGCTGACCTCACCCCTTGCCATTGCACCCGAGGAGTGGTGTTTCCATTTTTTAAAAATGTACATTGCCTAACAAAATGCATTCATTAAAAAAATGAAGGTCCTTGGGTAGAAACCCTGTGTGACGTGAACTAGATGCATAGGATTTACCTGCATCTCCAGTTCACTTCTCAAGTGCTTTTTTTTCTTTTCCCCCCAAGGAACTGGAACTCCTAATGCATAAAATTTTGGTTAAAAAGCTAGAATTTTGAAAAACTTATACCACATTGAAATAAGTAACTGTTTTTGGTTGTTAAACAATCTTTTCAAGGATTCTTAAGTGACATTAGAGATTACTCTATCCAATACCTTTCTTTTACATATAGGGCAACTATCCAAGAATAAACAAAGATCCATGCTGTGTTTTATGTTTTGAAGCTGTCAGAACCTCTTAAAAAATTAACCACTGTAGGGGGGAGACAGCAGAGAATCTGCTTCTTCAAATACTGGAAACCATACCATGGTTGTTCTATTGTTTGGGGAATAACTCTTAGTTGGAAATATTTCAAGGAGTTCATTTTAAGTTCAATCACATCTGAAGTGATATAATCTATTTTAACTTACTAATCACTGAATGTCCATGTGCTCCTAGGCATTCCCTGGCTCCCTTGCTGTTTAGGGGGGTCTAGGTGACTAGTTATGATGAATGAGCTGTGAGTAGAAGGGGCACGTGTCATTTCTAGGACAAAGCATAGAGAGAAGAGCACTTGTTAGTTTTTGATGCGTCTTTCTCTTCCTGCCACCGAAATAGCAGAAGCCAAACTTCGAGATGGTATAACCAAAAGATGGAAATAGCCCAGATGTCAGCTTGGAAGGGAGCTGTCTGGAAAGCCACAGTACCTGCAGCCAACTTCATGTGGGTGAAAAATAAACTTTAGTGGGTTAAACCAATGAAAGTTCCGTGTTGTTTATTTCTTCAGCATAACCTAGTCTATCCTGGTTATCATGTTAACCACACTATCTTTCATTAGACATGTTTTAAAATTCCCACAATTATTTAAAACATAATTTATAATCTTTGACATTCATACAGATGTGAAAGTTTAACATTTGTATGGGTAAACGCTTATTATTAAAAATATTGACAGCAAGAGAATTCTTATTTTTCATGTTTGAGACAAAAGACCACTAGAAAAATATGTCACCTGTGAATAACATAAAACACGGTCAGATTTAATCTTAGTTAACATTTGGATTAAATCTGAGTAGTTGGGTAATCAAATTTTTTGTTTAGTTGATAAGTTGTCAATTTGCTATCTTTATCAGCACAGACTAAGCCATTTTGGAGGATAGTACAAAATAGTAAGAATTTACTAGGCTAAGGTCCTGGAAGGATGAAAATCCACAAAGATGATCCTCCTTGTGGTGCCGTTTTGTCCTGATGATGGTTAGTAATCCAGAGACAGAAGTTGGAGCCTAGGGTCCACCAGGTAGGTGCCCTGCATCTTGAGTTGGGACTAAAAGAACAGACACGAGAAATAAGGGCAAATTGAATAAGTCAGTGGATAAAAAGTTATGGTATAGTTACACAAGGGACTACTACTCAGCTGTAAAAAAGAAGGAAATCGTACCGTTTGTGACAGCCTGGATGGGCCTGGAGGGTATTATGCTAAGTGAAATAAGCCAGTCAGAGAAAGACAAGTACCATATGGTTTCTCTTTTATGTGGAATCTCAGGAACAAAATAAGCAAACAAAATAGAAACACTCAGATATAGAGAATGGACTGATTAGATTTTAATATTATAAACATATATACGAGAATGAGGATTCTAAAAATACATGTAGATTCTTTGTAACATTTTCAGAAATAAAGTAATAATAATTAAAAAATTTAAAAATAAGGTGTTTGACCTGAATCTTTAGTCAATAATAAACCAAGAACGTTTTAGTACAGAAGTGGGTATAGAATTTGGGTTACATGATATTAAGCATGGTGAGTAAGGCAGTCAGCAAAAAGTGGGTAAATATTCAATATTTAAGGAGAGATTATAGTAATGAAACAGTTCTGTAGAATCAAACAAAGGCATTTTTCATTTTAAGATGTGAGATCTTAGAACATACAATCCTTGAGTATTAGAGTTGAGAGAAACCAAAAAGATTATTTAGTTGAATTCCACCTGAAGTCCTAGCATTCTGTTTCTATTTAAGCTCCTCTGTGGGTGAGGTTGGCCACCACCTTCAGGAGCGGCCTGTTGTGTCTTTGCACGGCTATGAGTGAAGGCTTTTCCTTAGCATGGTCTCAGAACTTCCCTCCTCAAATCTTAGTGATTGTCAGATTTGAAATGGGAGGACAGGTGTCAGCTGTGAGAGAATGTCACAGCTGATAATTTATTTAATGGCTTTCCAAAGGAAACGGTAAAAAGGGTCTGGCTTGACATTTTGGGGGGATGGTGAGAACACTGGAGCAAACTTTAATAGGACAGTTTAGGAAATAGATGTTCTTCAAGGATGGATTTTTGAAAGTGAGTCCTTTGTTTTAGGTTTTGCAAGGCAAATATATAACCTCTAGATTTAGCTGTGTGGTATTTAGTATGGCAATCACAAGGCAGAAATCTGAGGAGGAGATATGTCATTTATGAATGATTTTGGCTGAAAGCAACAGAATATCCAACTAAAAGTGCTCAAACCACATGACCCATAATATGCCGCTTAACAAACGTGTGGAAGCAGGTGCTGTCTGGGCGTTCAGCAGCTGGATGGCGTGTTGCACGAACGAGCTGTTTTCGTGGCCTGCCCCTCCTGGCCGCCAGGTGGCGCAGCTGCTCTAAACATCGTGGCCTCGGCTGCCGGCCCGCGGCAGGAAGGAAGGAGCCAGCAGCAGGGCTTTCTCTTTCTCTTCGTTCGGTCCCCTTAGGCAGGAAGGAACATCGAGGCCCGCAGCCCGCGTCTGGGGCCAGAGCCTGACCCCATGGCCATTGCTGGAATGACAAAAGGGAAATGATAGTGGCGTGATTTACTTAGACCCTCAAGCTGGGTGCATCATTGCCCAGTTGAAATAAGACTTTTATTTTATTTGTGTGTTTATTTTTTAAGCCAGAAAGAAGTGGGGCAGAGCTGTCAGGAAGGCTGCTAATAGTCCCTGCCAGGGGAGCTCAGGAGAAATTATACACGCTAAATCCATCTGGCCCTGTGCCAAGGGCAGGACAATGCCTCTTCAGAAATGAGTAAAATGTTTTTCTTCCTCTGATAATTATTAATTCTCTGCAGTGACTTAGAAAAATTCTTGGACTAAATTTCTTGCCATTAAATGCTTGATGAGTATAGGAGCTGACTTTAAAAGTATTTTTAAAAGTCACTCTGCTCCTAACCCAAACTTTTAACTCTAGCTCTTATCTTACCACTCCATGAGTTGTACGAATCACCTCCAATTTGCATATTATAGAAGAGCCTTACATGGAAAGGAATAAATCATTTTCAAATGAGACATTCCATCTAGCACTGACAGCAGCTGATTCCCAGCGCTGTCTTTCATTTCTGACATGCTTTTAGATGAGAGTCATCTTATACTCGCAGTAATCCTCAGGATAAAATTTTCTTCTCAAAGCTTATTTCATGACGGGTTTGTTAAGTTCTGAAGAACAAAGCAATATTCTTCCTCTTTTTAAATTGCACATCAAGTCTGGAAACATGAATTATTCTTTCTTTTTGAAATTGCATATCAAGTCCAGCAACATTGGCTCCTTCATGTAAAATATTAATGTCAAGTGCTAATGTAAGCATCTCCTATTTCCACCCCTTTCTTTCAGCGGGCTTTTCTTGCTCTTGGTAGATCCTCACTCCTACTGGATTTCCACTGCACGCCAATTATCTAGGCTACAGCTGTTTACTGGCAGCTGTTCTCTTCACTGCCCACGGCCACCATTCTGCTGGTCACTGTACTCTAGCTCCCATCTGTGGAAATCCCTGCCTCCCCAGGGTAGTTACTTTGGCTGGGGCCCACCCCTGGCTCAGGCACAGAACTCTCGACCTAAATCAATCCAAATATTGCATGCCCCTGGCCAGACTTATTGATTAATAGAAGCCTTATTCAGAATCATTGAGAAGTAATGATACTTTTGCTGGGACTTCTGGGAGAGAGGTTCTTTCTCTGTCTTCCTAGATTTTTAACCTTAATGTAAGGCCCACATTTGTTGTCGCCATCTTGATATCTTGAGTGGGAACCGGTCTGAGAATGGAGCTGTGACAGAGAGAGAGGGGGACACCCTGGTGATCCATTGCAGCTTTTTATCTGAGTTAGCAGCGAGCAGCAAGCCCTATTCCTGGCCTGTTCAGTTACATAATCAAGGAAGTTCCTGTTTTGTTTAAGCCAGTGTTTGGATCAGATTTTCTCTTACTTGTTACCCAAAGAGCCCTAACTTACACAGAGGTTCAGAATCCCTTATGACCAAGAAATATTCTCAGATACTGAATGTGTGATAAAAATTCACATGGAATATACTTAATAGGGAATAAATGCACTTATAATTTATCATGTGCAATATTTTTACTGCCTTTTCTTCAAATAATAATGTCCATTCATCACATACTACAACATAGAAAAGAATTTAAATTAGTATTATCAATATTACATACTTAATGTAGTCTAATTATCATTATGGCAGTGTGCTCTGGGGACAGATTCCTCAAGATTGAGAGTGTATATTTGTTTCCTTTTTGAATCTAAGTTATTTCATATT